ATTGCCAACCAAAGCCTTCCATCCCTCCGGGGTCGGTTAATTGGTACCAGACTTGTCTGGGAGGATAAAAACACTGACTTGAACATCGGCTGGCCCCCGCAAGTCATTGTATAGGCCACATCGCATTCAAACGCCACTGCGAATGTACAAATGGAAGTAGAATGCGTGCCGCATCCCAAAAAGGGATTGATCAACGGCAAATGCTTATCCTTTTATTTTATTATCTATTCAACCAAAAACCCGTACTGCAACGTTTCATTGATTATTAGTCTGGACGGAATCTTGTTTCTTTCGCGTTAAAACATTTCAGCTGTTGCCGATGACATAGAGATCACCGTCATAGTAACTTCTTATAGCATACATTATACGCAGCGATGACAAGGTGCTGATAACAGCTGATGAGGACTGATAAGAGCGATTAGCTCGAAACGGAGAAGTCACTAAATTCGCAGATGCGCGATGAGGAAACACTTCATTCTATCCGCGTTGTCGTCGTTAACATAGTTTCAACCGCTTATTTGCCCGAACTCCTTAAAATGCAGTGAATGCGATCAGTGACGTTTCTATTGCAATGACACCGGTATAAGAAATTGTTCATCCGCTAAGCCATTACAGTATCCGAGGCGTGAGAGCAGCTAAATTGCTAATTGTGTTGCTCATTCCCAGCATAATCGGCCGCTAGACCGCGTCTTTCTCGGAGGATGATGCATGTTTATGGGTACCGACCTAGAAATTACAGCTTTATCACCAGCACTGTAATAAGCCTTCGTTAATACCATCAGTCAAATCCGTTGAAAGCGTATGTTACGCAATACAATAGCCCGACTACGCTCAAGTACCCTGAAACCTATTGACACGCGATAGCGGGCGAGCCAAACTGGTAGTTTATGATTCGAAGTGTCATGAGATGAGTCTGCAGCAGCTTCTATTTGTTAACTAGACCTTCCCTCACCAGATAGTCGTATCAGGATGGAGGGCTGTGAGGATGCCAACATCTTGAAATCCTGTAGTTTAGAAAGTTTAGGCACAAGAATACGGTTTTTGAGCACCATTCACATAAGCCTATACAAAACCTACCCTAAGTGCCGGCGTGGCGCACGCGCGGGAGGCTAGAAAAAATCCTTCCTACCCAAAAGCTCGCTCGCTCAAAAATACTCTTTTCCGTTACGTGTTAGAGACCCTCCTCGTCTATTCTCTATTTTACCCTGAACCTTGGATGATAATGGGGGTTAGTTTTGCTTTCGAGCAAGTATTATCAACAGTTGGGAAGCGCTCCAGTGTTCACACGTCCTTTCGTGTACCCATTTCGACCTTGGCTCCTCCCCTGGAGAATAATTTATTATTTCACCTTGAACCCAAAAATCGGTTTAAAGTAATGCAAAAGTCACTTGCCAGCAATGCTTCTCTTGCTAGAGATAATGAATACGCGACTTTGGTCCATGAATCAAGCCATTTGTTGTGCTCTTTCATCCAAGCTCTTAACAAGCAAAGAAGTACATAATCATCAATATATTGTACTTTGGAGTATAACTCACCTGAGTTTATC